CAGTCGGAGCAGCTCTGTGTCGTGGGGGCGGGTAGAGCAGGAGGGGCCCCCACTGCAGCACAGAGGATGAGCCCCGGGAGAGAACGTCCCTGGCCAGGACACGTTTGGAGATGCTGCTGAGAGGCAGGTGGCCCCTGGGTCTGAGGGGATGGCCACCAAGGTCATGAACATCTCCAGAACTGCCACCCCGCAGTCCCTGCTCCCCAGATCCAGTGGGTCAGTGGAGGGTCTCTGTGTGGTGGCAGAGACCTGACCTTGGAAGTCAGGTCTGCGGATGACCGAGGACAGCTCGTTGGGAAGGCTTTCCCCAAAGGCGAGGCTGTCAGCAGCCTTTGATGGGGGTCTCCAGTGTGGCCACCCCTCCTCGCCCATCACTCACACCGGCAGACCAGATGCAGGGACATCTCACCTGGAGCCCCTATGACTGCAGCCTGAGTCCAGCAGGTGGCGGCAGCGCCCCGTCCAGGAGGCCAGTGGGCAGCACATCTCCGGTGAAGTAAGGACCCTTGTAAGGACCCCTTTACAGCATCTCATAGATGCACTTGTTCACTACTAGCGTGTAGATATGTGCTGGGTCATCGCCTACATGCTCGGTTCAGAAAAAGGATCCCCAGACGTCCTTTGTAAATTCAAATTCTTAAATTCAAGGAGCCAGTTAATCTTTCAAAATGAGGCAGAGAAATAAAACTTTCTCATTAAAATATTAACCCTGATTCCAAACACGGTACTTGGGCAATTCAGACTGACCAGGTTACCACGAAGGTGGGGAGGGAGGCCGCTCCTGGGCAGAGGGGGCTGGACCGACCCCTCTTCTCAGAGACCCTGGCCAAGACCATCCCCGCTTCTTGTGCTCTGTTCTTTCTACTGCAACTTGGACGTTTCTTTAAAATTTGCAACCTTTGCTCTTTTTTTTGAAGTGAGTGGTACAGCTGCCCTTCCTTCCCTTGAAGTTCATTTTCCCACCGTCTCCCCTCCCCTCCCACAGAGTGACAGTCCATGGTGACAGAACTGTGGTGTATTCACTGTTATTACACGTGTGTGGACACGTGGCCGCCCAGCGGGAGACATTTCTCCAACTTTCTTTCACCTTGTTTTAACCACATGACTAAGTTGAGGCCAATAGGTTGGGAGAAGTGATTCCCACAACTTTCAGATTGTGCCCTTAAGGGAAAGGCCACCTGCCTCCCCCTTTTCCTCTTTCTGTTGCCTGGGGTGAAAATGTGAAAGAGGGAGTTACAGCAGCCCCCTTGCACCATGAAGACAGACTGAAGTTGAGGACAACGGCATCCCGCTAGCATCCTGGATTGTCTACCTGGGCTCTAATACAAGAGAGAAATAAACCAAGGGATCAGAAAAGATACAGCTCCTACTGCTAGCTCTCTTGTAGATTTTCCTAAATAAAACATCAGGAAAATTAGTATATTCGCAAATGCAACTCAAGCAAGAACGTAAGAAAGCAATCTGGCAATTCGCAGTGAGTGTGGCGGGTATTCATATACTGAACCATAAAACGTGAAAATAAGTCACAGCTGCTCGTTCTGAGCTCTGCTTCCGCAGCCTCCCCGCGTGTAAAGTCCCTGAGCACAAAGACGGCATATGTACCTCTGGCTCCCACAGGGCAGTGAGCTCCACATCTGAGGACCTGAACTCCGTGAGGGCTGCAGCGATTCGAACGGTCTTCCCGCAGTTGTGAGGGAGGATACAGGCTGCTCTAGGAATCGGATGAGATAACAGAGGCCTCTGAAGTCTCGAGCCAGGAGTGCCCTGTTCATATAAATGGGTGGGCGAAGGGGATCCCACCCCCCCGGCACCGTTACAGCTGCCTTCTGCGGCCACAGCTGCTGCCCACCACCCTGAGGCCCCCGAGAGAAGAGGGTGCTCTCGACATCAAGTACAGAAGTGGCCCAAGTTTGGGGAAATTCCCACTGCACTGAAGAGCTGGAGGGTGAAGCAGGGAGGCGGGAGAAGCCCCCTCCCCCAAGGGGGCATGGAGGGCGGCAGACTGGCCAGCAGAGATCCTCAGAGGAGGGCCATCCGCGGTGGGAGCGTCAGCGCTCAGTTACTGTGCGGGCTGACCAGGCAGGTGTGGCTGACCAGCACCACAGTGTCCGTTGTCATCCTCATGTTATGGGGATATGCACCTGAAAACTGAAAGCCTGAACTGGGAATGACTACCTGGAACCCAACTTACCAGAAAGGGGGACACCACCCGGAAATGAATTATCACGTGTTTGAAATTAACTCGAATATGAAAAGTTGCTCTGCCTTTAGAAACCTAGTTGTTATGGGCTAGTTGGACTTGTGCCCCCCCAGATTAACACGTTGGTGTCCTGACCCCTATTCCTCAGAACGGGACTGTATTTGGAGAGAGGGCCTTAAACAGTTGATAAGTTAAAACGATACCATCAGGGTGAGCCCTAATCCCATGTGACTGGTGTCCCTGTAAGAAGGGGAGGTCACACACTTCCCCCACAGAGGGACGACTGTGTGAGGACACAGGGAGAAGACGGCCGTCTGCAAGCCAAGGGGAGAGGGCTGGGGCGAAACCAGCCCTGCCCACACCTGGATCTCAGACGGGGAGATAGAAACGTCAGTTGTTTGAGCAGCCTGGTCTGTGATATTTTGTTACGGCAGCCCTCCCAAAGCGATACACCAGTAGGCTCTAAGCATACACGCTGTATTCATTTAGACCAGATTCTGTGTCCTCATACCTCCCGAACACCTGGAATTTGCACACACTGTCAGAAACCTTAAAAGGATTTTAAAATATTGTACTTTCCTGGCTTCACTTAAAAGCTAGGCTATCTGTCCTCAGAAGCAAATCAACATACAATTTGCAAGATAATACCTCCGTGCCTGAATTTTCACCTTTGCTGAGATATACATATAGTAAAATCTCAGTTATCCAGAAATAATTGATCGAGACCGCGTCTCAACTACTTTGTAACAGGAACGAAGAAAAATTATCCTCTGGTCAGCACATAGATGTGATTATACATAAACACACACACACAGGCGTATGCAATAAATTACACATGTGTATATGATTAATGCATTAATAACAGCCTGGCAGGTGCGAACCCATTGTCCCTATTAATGCACAGTCCTGACAAGTGTAGACAGATGATCCCCAAACACAGTGGAACAATGTTTGCAAAGAGTCAGAGGAGGGACGAAAGGCACACACTTAAGGTCCAGCCAGAGCCTGACAGTGAGAGAAGGTACGAGAAATAGATGAAAAGGAGACCCGGGAACCGTTAAAGAACAGTCCGGAGCCCTTTAGTGTAAGAGCAGAGACCCCGGCAGCCCCGGGTCCCCGGGGGCGTCGGCCTCTGCAGCACCAAACGGTTGTTGATGCACCTGTTCTGATGCCCAAGGCAGCACGAAAAAAGGATGCCATTAATAAAATATGTAGCACATTTTAGAAACACCTTTATTCATTATGGCTGAAATCTGAAAAGGGTTATTGCATAAAGAAGCAAGTTTCACTCCTCTGGAGACTGAGATGCAGAAGACCTTGATTCCAGCTTCGCCGAGTCAGCATGATGTTTCTGTGCCGGTTTTGAAACACGCTTTCACACATCTCATCAGTGCTCTGGTCAAACCAAAAGAAGCATCTGAGTAACGCCTCCTCTGCTTTGATTTCTGAAGTCACACGCTAACAGATTTGAAGGACGTGGGACCCCTGAACACCAGGGTCTCCCAGTCGGAGCCCTGAGACTGGAAGACAATTTCTACTTCACCCACAGAACAGTTTTATTTTGCAAAGCCAAAACCATGTGTTAAAAATACAGGCTTTGGATCTTAAGAGATCATGTTGAATTTCATGTAGAGATGTAGCTGAAGCGTGTAAGAACAAGAGCAAGTTTCAGATAACACATTAAATACACATCAGTATCTTTGCAGCTCATGTCAGGACTTTTCTAATAAGCACTGGTGGGTTTTTTTGTTTGCTTGTTTTGTTTGGTTTGGTTTGGTTTGGTCGCGCCTCAAGGCTCGTGGGATCTTAGTTCCCCGACCAGGGACCGAATCTGGGCCGTCAGCAGTGAAAGCACAGAGTGCTAACCACTGGACGGCCAGGGAATTCCCGTGTTTGTGTTTTTGTAAGATGGGTTGATGCTTTTCCACTTAGGTTCATATATTTACAAAGCACTTTCAAAACTTGAGTTCTATGAACTTTTGACGCAAAGAGATTTGTTAAAAACTGATTCCATAGTTAAGCTCAGGCTTTAGGTAAAACCACTTTACTGCAGCAGAAGCCAACGTGATCCAAGCTCTCTGAGAAGCTAATTTGAAGCTCGTCACAGCCAGCGTCCCCTCCACACAGCTTTCTTCAACTCCATGATGGAAGTGAACAAAAGTTCTTACATTATTGTCTCAGTAAAGTTTCCTGGTTCTTTTTAAAAAAGTACTCTATTTATTAAAAAAGAAAATTTAAACGACTAACTCTTTAAACCGCACTATAAGCTCCAACTTTATTGTGCTCTGTTAAACAAATAATTATTAAGCCCCTTCTGTACGCTGAATGCACGCAGTCTAATGGATTTTTAGAGGAGAATTTCCAGTCATAGAGGGAAATGAAGCAAACTTACACTTCCTGACGGCCTGTTACAACCTCAACTGCCTTATCCACCGTGACAAGTGTCTCTAGTACTTATGCAGCCACCTCTTCTGTCTCTGAGCTTGTTTTTCTTCTGCTTTTTTATGAGCTCATGCTTGAGAAATGAGAAAAAACTCACACTTTTTCACAGGGAAATGAGATAAAGCTCAAGCCAGCCCATTTTGCTATTATGACACCAACAGTAACCATCGCGATGGAAAGACGTTTAACCTTCTGCCTAAAATGAGTTACACGAGGGCATTCGTTTGTTTTTTCCATTTTTTGTTGTTTTTTTTTTTTTTTTTTGCGGTACGCGGGCCTCTCACTGTTGCAGCCTCTCCCGTTGCGGAGCACAGGCTCCGGACGTGCAGGCCCAGCGGCCATGGCTCATGGGCCCAGCCGCGCGGCATGTGGGATCTTCCCGGACCGGGGCACGAACCCGCGTCCCCCGCATCGGCAGGCGGACTCTCAACCACTGCGCCACCAGGGAAGCCCATCCATTTTGGGTTTTTAAGCCGTGGGATGTTTTGCGACGACCAGAAGAAATTGTGGTCTAGGGCTGCTTCGTGAATATTCCTGAAAGTGTTCATATTTGTCAGCAATTCATTTTCATTCAGCATTTCCCAAAGCCTGTTTTGCAGAATGCCAGCCAGCAGGGACGGGGGCACAGAGCATCCCCGTCAAGTGAGTTTGGGGGACGCTGCCCGTCGGTGCCTGCTGGCACCCCGAGCGCGTGCAGCCCTGATCTTGCAGGAAAGACCCCGCTTGCTTTGGCTTCATGTCCACACGCCCCGTGCATTTTTGTCCTGCCTGTTCGCCCGTCCGCACCGAGCCTGGGGGGCGTCACATGGTGAAGGAGGACGGGCTGTCGTTGTCCACGGTCTCGCTGTTCTGCCGGGAGGTGAGGGTGTCCGAGTGCAGCCGGGAGCACGAGAAGCCCGGCGACTTCTGCCTCCTCTTCACGCACCACAGGTCCTTCGTGATCTTCAGAAAGTAGCTTCTAAACTTCTGACCGACGAAGGCATAGAGCACCGGGTTGAGGCAGCAGTGCAGGAAAGCCAGGACCTCGGTGACGTTCCTGGTGTAGCCCAGCAGCCTCTCGCTGCTGCACGAGCGGTCCGTCCTGCCCAGGTTGACGGCGGTCACGAGAAGCACCATGTTATGTGGGATCTGGCAAGCCAGAAAGACAAGGACCACGGCTATGATCACGCGGATGGCTCTGTGCCTTTTGGAATTCTGAGCTTGAATTAAGGTCTTGACAATAAACATGTAGCAAAATATCATAAACACCAGCGGGATGAAGAAGCCGAACAGGAGCTGCAGCCCCAGCATCAGCAACTTCCACCGGATTGGCTCGGAGACGGCGTGGTACCTGGGCTCGCAGACGTCGCTGCCCTGCAGCTTGTACTTCTGGTTGAACATGAAGGTCGAGCTGGAGATGAAGATCGACACCACCCACACGACCAAACAGATCATCCTGTGGTGGGCCAAGGCTCTGGACCGGAGCCGGAAGGACTTGGTGGCCTGCACGATGGCGATGTAGCGGTCCAGGCTGATACAGGTCAGGAGCAGCATCCCACAGTTAAAGTTGATGGCGTAGATGCCCCGGGTCAGTTTGCACATGACGTTGCTGAAAATCCACTCGCCAGTAGCGTGGTTGACGGCCCAGAACGGGAGGGTAAGGACGAAGAGGATGTCTGCGACGGCCATGTTCAAGAGATAAACGTCTGTCATAGACTTGGCTTTCTTATAAAAAGCAAAGGTGACCACCACCAAAATATTGCCCAGGAGGCCAGAGACACATATCAAGGAGTAAGCGAGTGGCACAAATAGCCCAGAGAACTTTCTGACCTCCTGCAAGGAACATAGAAAGCTATCAACATCGAGAGAGTAATCGGAACTGTTAGCGAACCCAAAATAATCCTCATTTGCATCGTAGATGTTGGTGGAATTCATGGGTTCCTGGAAAGTGAACAAAGACAGAGTTGGCAGTAGCGTCATTTTCAAGGAGCACGACTGGCCGAAATTACACTCCCAACCAAAATAAAAAAGGTGCTCAAATTATACCCCAATAGAGACGTTAAAAAAAAAAAAGTATAGTGACAACATCAAATGTTGGCGAGTACGTAGAAAAATTATATCATATCACTGGTGGGAAAAAAAAATGGTTTAGCCACTCTGAAAAAAAAAAAAAAAAAAAAAAAGATGCTCACCTCTCTCATGGTGGTGCTTGATCTGGGCAGAGAGTCCGGGCCTGGACTAGAAGGGGAGTGGATTTTCAACTCCTCTGGCTCACAGCGGAGAGAATAGGAGAGAAGTGAATCTAAGGAGGAAAGAAAGCAAAATGCATTACAGTTAAGTATTCGCAGAGAGCCAGAGAATTAAGGAAATAGATTTCTTCCCGTTTCAACACAAAGAGTGCACAGCATACTATTTTACACAGAAATATTCATTTAGAGCTGGTGTCAGCAGTGTCTTTCTGTAAAAGGCCAGATGGTAAATATTTTAGGATCTTCGGGTCCTGTAGTCTCTGACACAGCTACTCAAATCGGCGGGTGCAGTGTGAGCAGCTACAGACAGCTGCACAAATGAGTGGGCGGATCAGACATGGTGCCATGGGCTGTGATTTGCCGATCCCTGATCTAGAGCATAAAAACGGGTGATATCAGCAAAACCACAGATCTGATCTGCAGAAAAAATCTTCTGCAAAATTCAAATTAATTACGTTCACAAGAGTCCACTGAACAAAACCTACAGAAGTGTAGCTGTTGCTAGGATACTTGTAATTTATAGCCCTAGCCTGAAACTATTATATATAATATTAAAGGCTGGGTATATATTTATGGTTTTATATATATAATCCTGAAAAGCCACAGATACGTCCAATGGACAGTCTAGCTAACGACCACTAATCTACTGGGGCAAACACATCATAGTCCTCAGAAACCAGAGTTTGGGAAGGAAGGTTCAGGTCGGCGTGGTTAGGGAAGGCTCTGCGGACAGGCCCACTCTGGGTCCTTGGAGAACAGGTCACCTGCAGGTGACCGCTCTGGCTGAAAAGGAATACCGAGCGCTGCGTGTTTGTGAAACGGTGTGACCAGCCTGGCCAGGTCAGCCTGACCGTCCAAACAACCTTGATGGAGCATGTGACATGCTGGGAATGCCCAGAGGGGGGACACGGAGTCCAGGCTCAAGAAATTCACCAGGAGACTAAGAAAGGATGGCAGGACTCTGAAATCTATCATTTGAAACAAACAGGAAGGAAAGAAGGATTCTTTGCTCTTCCCATACTCACTCATCCTTCTTTGCTTGGTGTTCATCATCCTGCTTTATGATCCAGCCCCACCCCCGACAAAATCCCTGTCCTGGAATCCTGATACTCCTGTGAAATGCACACTCCCTCTCCTTCAGCTCCCCCCTTGCCATGTGGCCCAGCAAGGTCAAGAAGACGGAGGAACAACAGAAATGCGGGCCTCAGAGGCTCAGACAGGAAGAAGAAATGTGTCCCATAACACATCTACCTGCGCCAAGTCAGTCCCCACCTCCAGAGTCAACACTGACATCTGGGGGAAAGATTCGGTAGATCACAGAGGGCACCCTGAAGGATTTTCTGAACATACTTCTTGTATCGTTTGATTCTCCCGCTGTTGCTTCCCAATCACAGATCAGGTGGCCTGAACCCACTCCTTCCCGGATGCCTGGACAGAGTGTTTGCTGCCGAGGGTCCCTGCTGTGGACACAGGACTGCAGGGAGGCTGGGCTCCCCTCTGCACTTTTGCAATTGCCTGCAAGTTTAGAGTTCTAATGGGCACTTCAGAGCATGCAGAAGACGCATAATACAGAGCTTCTGTTCTGCGAAAGCATACTGAGGAAGTAGACACGTCGATCAGATTATCAGATTAAACGTATCAATCAAAACTCAAGACTTGTGCTTCCAGCCATGATGGATTAACAGAGACCTAATGCACCTTACGCATTAAACAACCAAGAAAGCCTGTAAAATGCATTAAATCACAGTTTACAGACATCACAGGACTATGGTCCCCGACAGGAGACCAGTGAAGTGGGCAATGGCCTGAGCTCTGCGATGCCCCCAGCTCTCAAGGGGAGCAGTTCCCAAGTGCAGAGCAGGGGGGTAACCCAGAGAATGGCCCTCTTGCTGAGTTGAGGAGACCGGGACCAGAATTCAGGGAGGCCGGGCGGCTGGGAGAGGAGGCCCTTCACACAGAAAAACGAGGAGACCAGCAGAGTGGTGTCCTTAACAGGAAGCGACACGCGACTGGGGGAAGGACCACCAGAAAGGGTGGGCAGCGGGGTTCGCAGTGTCCTCCCAGGCTGGAAATAGCTCCCACGGCCAGATCGCTGTTGCAAGAGAAACTAGTTGATAGCCTCCCTCACGTTAAACTTTATTCTTTTAGCCCATCCAGCCACTCTCCCCCACAGATATATTTTTTTTTTCTTTTTCTTCTTGCTTAACTGCCATTTGAAAATGATCGTTCTCTGGTTAGAATTGAACTATGCACCTGGTGTTTACTTCTTGGAGAAAACACTCCCTAACAACCCCTCCCTTGTGAGCCTTCTTCATTCCAGAAAGAAGGTCATGGCACGATAGCCTCAAGGACCACCAGAGCCCATCTTGGGACCACCTGACGCCAGCTTTGATGGTTCTGAAACTTTGCTGAAGTCAAGAAGAATGTGCCGCTTGACCCTTGTCTGCTGCCCGATTTCCCACCCCGAGACTATAGAGCCTTTCGTACACTCAAGGGAGGGCACATCTTGAGGGCACTAGCCTGCTGTGGCCCCCTTTGCCTGGCAAAGCAATAAAAGCACTCTTTTCTACTTCACCCAAAACTCTGTCTCCGCATTTCTACTCGGCACCAGTAAAGAGAGGCGGGGTTTCGGCATCAGTGGCAACCATGACCTTCCACATCCCAGGGTCCTGGGAGCATCCTCAGAAGGGTGCCATCTTAGGAGTAATGGGGTTAAAATAATCTGACGTAAATGCTGCTCTGGACCTGCCGTCCAGAGCAAAGCCTGAGAGGAAGTCTCAAATGATCCATCTGATTCCAATAATACAACTACCTTCCAGAATAAAGCCCAAAATTATTTAAGGAAATAAACAAAATTCAGCCTTCAACATGTAAAACTCATAATGTCAGGCACCAAACAAAAATTTCCAAACCACAGTAGATCGAATGTTTGCAGCTCCCCAAAATTTGTATGCTGAAGCTGAACCCCCAGTGTGATGGCAGGTAGAGATGGGGCCTCCCCCCACAATGGGATTCGTGCCCTTACAAGAAGAGACACGACAGGGCTTGCTTCCTTTCTCTGCTCTGCACCCTGTGGGGACACAGTGAGAAGACTGCAGACCAGGAAGCAAGGTTTCATCAGACCTGGATCCTCTGGGGCCTTGATCTTGGATTTCCCAACCCCTAGAACGTGAGAAATAAAATGTTTGTTGTTTCAGCAACAAACAACAATTTGTGGTAATTTGTTATAGTAGCTCAAACTGACTAAAACACAGACATTTAAAATAACAGAAAAGTGTGACCCATGATCTACACAAAGAAACAGAAAAATGACAGAGATGATAGAATTAGCACAAAAAGATGCGCCAACAGCTACTGTAAATATACTCCACATGATCAAGAAGGTAGAGGAAGGCATAAACATGACGAGGAGTGTCATGAAAGATATAAGAAGACCTAAGAAAGATCCTATAGATGATATACACAATATGTAAAATGAAAATACATTGATTGGGGCACTTCCCTGGCAGTCCAGTGGTTAAGAATCCGCACTGCCACTGCAGGGGGCATGGGTTCGATCCCTGCTTGGGGAACTAAGATCCCACATGCCTCACGGCGCAGCAAAAATAATAATAATAATAATACACTGATTAGGGTTAACATCACACTGGACACCAATGATGGACACAAATCAATTGTAATTCTATGCCCCAGCGACATTTGGAAATTGAAACTGAAAAAAAAAATCATAATAGCATCAGAAAACATGAAATGAAATACTTATGAATACATCCACCAAAATGTGTACATATCCTGAAAACTACAAAACATCGCTGAGAGAAATTAAATCATCTAACTTAATGGAAAGATATGTCATATGTAGATTAAACAATTCAATATTGTTAAAATGTCAGTTCTCTCCAAACTGATCTACAGATACAACAAAACCCAAATCAAAATTGTGGCAAGGGTTTTTGTAGAAATTGACAAGGTAAATCTAAAGTTTATTAAGAAATTCAAGGGATTTAGAATAGCCAAAACAACTTTGAAAAAGAGAACAAAATTGTAGGACTCACAATACCTGATTTCAAGGCTTACTGTAAGCTACAGCAATTACGACAAGAGGACAGATTCATAAATCAATAGAACAGAATAAATACAGATTTTTAACTAAACTACCAAGGTAATTCAGTGGGAAAAACAGTCTTTTCAGTAATGGTGCCAGAACAACTGGATATTCATGTATAAAAGTTGATCCAAACCCCTTATATCACACCGTAGGCAAAAAACTAATTCAGAACAGGTTATAGAGCTGTATGTGAGAGCTAAAACCATAAAACATCTAGAAGAAGACATAGGAGAAAATCTTCACGCCCTTGGGAATGAAAGAGATTTCTTGTATAAATTGCTCAAGGCATGAACTGTTATAAAATTGATAAATTGTAACTGATCAGAATTTAAAACTTCTGCCCTTCGAAAGTCTTCAGAAAATGAAAAAGACCATTGCATGGGGAAAAAATTGTAAATTTATATCTGATCATTGTGGCCAGCATATTCAAAGAACCCTTACAACTCAATGTCAAGAAGACAAACAACTCAAGAAGAATCAGGCAAAAATTTTAAGTCGATTCACCAAAGAAAATACATAGATGTATTTATAAGCACAAGAAAAGGCACTCCATGTCATTAATTATTAGGAAAATGCAAATTAAAACTGCAATAAGAAGTCGTTTCATGCTCACCAGACTGGCTAAAATCAGAAAGGCAAACAAGACTGTGGAAGACGATGTGGAGCCTCGCGTGCTCACCAAAGTGGTGGGGATGCAGCACAGAGACCCGCTCTGAGAAAACAAGTCAAAGTCTCTCATAAGTTAAACACACACTTACCACGTGAACCACAAGTGACCCCTGCGTGTTCACCCAGGAGAATGAAAATGAAAGACTTGTACTCAAAGGTTTATTCTTAACAGCCCCAAACTGGAAAGAACCCCAGTGCCCATCAGCTGGGGAACAGATGTGTGGATTGCACCCCATCCACACACTAGAACGCAGTCAGAAGATGAAAAGTGGATAC